TAATCCAGTATTACTGGTATTTATTTTCACTGCATAAAAATGAAGTTATCTCAATTTATAATAAATCTGCATATTTAAGTCCATAAAATAATATTAATATATTTTAAATAAAATATGATAATCAAATGATGGAATTTGTATAAAAAAACTGAAAAATTTTCGTCAAGAGCCTCGGCGCCGCCGAACTACCTGGACAATTTTTTAATTAAGTTCGATTCATACAAATTGGAAGCGCTCGACAGATGCCTAGTGTCTAGGCGGCCGACCAGACCAATTTTTAATGCACTAATTAATATGATAGGGAGTAGATGAATGCTGTAAACAATATATATATTTGTAGTAGTAATGGGTGAAAAGTTGGGTGTTAATTTATTGATCATAAGTTGAAAACACAATCATGATTATGAAGCCAATTAAGTCATGACTAGTCCATAAGATTGTGCTGTGCATCAAATTTTTGGTGCAATAGTAACACAATATGGAGTGCATCTTGTGTACATGCGAATGAAAAAAGAAATTAGTAACACAATTAAGTCACTACCCCGTTAATTTATTTTTTAATTCAATCAGAAATTCCTCCAAAAGTGGAGCTGCAATATCGTTAAATACATGGCATTTAAGAAATAAAATTCAATTTCATATTCTACTTTTACAATTAATACAAACTAATATTCGACACTGCGCATTTGTACATATGTAAATAAAGTATTTTGAGTTATTTGTATGCATATAATGATTAATGATTTTTCTTTCACTTTTTGCAGGCCAAGTTTACAATTAAAGGAGTTGGAATATTTTTTTTTTAAAAAAATTGTGTTTATTAGATTGGACGTAATGTATATTTTGCTACGCATTTTTTTGTGAATTATTTATTATTTATTTAGGAATTTCAAATACGTTTTTTTATTTTTTCAAAAATAATTAATTTAAATATAATCACAATAATAACATCTAATCACATTATACGGTCAACACATTATACGGTCAACTGTCAGTAATCAAAAGTTTAAAATGATTTTTGTAATTTTGAATTGATAAGTGTGTTGATTATTTAATAATTAAATGAATTGTTAAATAAATTAAAAGTAACATTTTTTGGAAGAAAAAAAAGGTAAAATTGCCACGTAGGTATAATTAAATAAGTTTTATTTAATGCATCTGTCAACAATTATATATATATATATATATGTATCTCATTGTGTTTGCCGAGTTTTTAAGGGTGCGATTTGATATAAATCTAATCATTTAATTTAGTTAAAATAAGTTATTTTGAATAAAGTAGATTGAATGAATTATTTTGAGTGTGATTGGATATGAGTTATGATCCAATATCCAATCATATAATTGAAAACTCAACTCAAGGTAACTATGGTACTTTTTTATAAATATAATCAAGTAATATCAATCAATCATTATCACAAATCACATCAACTTTAGTTCACTATTCATGCACTTACTTTAATATCATTTCAATTTTAATCTTTACATTTTAAATATAATTTAATTTTAAATCTACTTTATTTGAAATAATTCAATTTAACTCAATATAATTAACAAAGTTGGATTATAAATCCATATTCAATCGCCTTTTGAGTTTGAAATTTAACAATATTTAAAATAACGATTGAAATTGATGTGATATAAAAATAGGAGAAATATATTTAGAAGTGATAGATTGTTAAATTTATGTGAGTGAATAAATAATAATTTAAAATTTATGTGATGTGCGAGATTGATTGATTGATATTACTTAGTTATATTTATAAAAAGTACTAGAGTTCTGTTGATTTGAATTTTGATTTAGATAATTGGATATGAAATAACTCAACTAGTCCTAACCGGTTATAATTTATATTCAATCACGCCTTGATAGTTTGACCACAAGTATATGGATTCGTTTAAGGAAAGAAAAATAGAATAATTTTTTTTTTTCAAACTAGCAGAATTCATTAATAAAAACAGACAATTACAGACCGGATAACAACCAACCAACCGAATAAATCAGTTAAGCGGTTGAATCAAGTTGGAAGGACTACACCAATGGTTGATGTTTGGCGGACGTGCTTGTTCAGCCCTGACCCGATAGTAAAATGAGTTTTTAGATTTGTTTGTGTGTTCAACGAGCATACTTGCGATCGACATCGAAGTAGCTTCTAGATTGCTTTAGAGTATGAAAGCGGCTAGGCGGTAGGCAGGATGAATATCTTGATATACTAGTTTATTTATTTAATAAATAAATTAGTATATATGTAATAAATAAATTATTTATTAGTATTATAATTAAAAGTTGTATAATTCTTGTATAATATAGATAAAATAATGTGTTTATATATATAAATAAAATCAAATATTAAACACAAGTTGTGTTGGGTCAAGTGGCTAATAACCACATTTTACATATTAGGTGTACAAGGTTCAAATCCCCATCTTGCAATATTTTTGCACTTCTGCCATGTGTACATGATTGGCCACCTGGTCACTGACTCGGATTCACGAGTGGTATGGGCGTCAATTTTATTTGCCACGTCAGATTTCCGTTAAGGGCCGTTAAAAACGTGTATTGGGTTGTCAAAATTGTAAAGGTCATGTATTTATTTGTCAATGTCTAAATATCGTGATTAAATGGCTAAACACGTAAAAGTCGTGTTATTTCCCACCATTAAACCATTAATTAATGATTATACTACCTCACTAAAACTTTTATCACATCACAAAATACTTAAAGGAGTCATGTAAAGGGAGGATCTAGGCAATGTTGGCCTATAGAATCTCGAATACATTTAATTTCATAAATGATAATATTGGAACATCAAGGAATAATTGCCACTAAAAGTGGTACTTTTGTTTATTTACCACGCATAGTACTACACCAAAAGCAGTCAAACTTGCGTAATATATTCGGAGCAGATATTTTTAACATCTGAACCGCCAATCTTGAACCGCCAACCTTGAACCGCTCATATAACCATTAGTCGGTCCGTTTTAACATTTCAGTCAAATTATCGAACTTGCTTCGAATGAAGTATAACGTTTATGAATGTTAGATATACTAGACAAGTAAGGTATAAAAATATATAAATTGAATATTATTTTGTAAAACAAGTTCATTATATTCTGAAAATTATTAACAAAACAAATACAATTTATACAGTTCTTCTATGAAACCAGATGGTTGGTTCCATTATAGAACCAACCACCAATGAGACAGCATGTGGGACAGCTCCATGTGGCACTGTCTCATTGGTGGTTGGTTCTATAAGGAACCAACCATCTGGTTTCTTAGCAAAGTTGACAATTTATAATTAAATTTTTTATACAGTAAGCGCTCGTTTGTTTGGTGGGATAGGCCAGGATATCCTGGTTTATCCCTAACATATCCCACGTTTGCTACGCAGGATTCAAGTCCGGTATTAAGCGCAGGCCCGGTATGAAAAAGCAAATAGTCCCATGAAATTGGGATAAACATAATTTGTACACAAACATTTTTATGTTAATAAATAAAATAATTAAACGAGGATTTGTTTAAAGCAAATAGACAGGGGCGGACGCAGACTCATAAAGTTAAAGGGGCACAAACATAATTTATACACAATTAAAGTATAAAAATAAAAACGATAATCGTTCTCCAGATGTTCTTATATATTGTATTTTCCATAATCACATTATTTCATATATTTTTAAATAAATCTTTCTCAAATATCTACTTTTTTTTGCATTGAATATTTCATTCTATTTCAGCATTAGTGGACTTCTATTTATAATATTTCTTCATAAAAATTTAAAATCATATTAGTAGAAAAAATAAATGACAAATACGTGTCAAAACCAATAACAAGAGTTTAGAAATCTTAATTAAGTTGACTTTACATCAAAGTTCTTAAAGCTCTAAAGATGACATTTTTTTTTTTAAATTCTTAGGTATAAATAGAGGTTTACATAAAATTTAAATATAATTTTTAATAGATACAACATGTGAGTAGAAATAAAAAATTTGCTCAAAGATGAAATTGTAAAAGAATTAATGTGATATTTCCATTCTTAGAACATTTGCTACCTTTTTTATTTAATTAATAATTAATTATATAAAAAATTGGAGAAAATAAATCATTTACTAAATAATTTTGTTAATAAATAAAATACTATTTTTGTAATATATATATGCACTATTTTTTTTTTTTTTCAACACGGGCATGGCCCCCTAGGGGCCCTCCCTAGGTCCGCCCCTGAATAGACCTACTAATAGTAACTAGTAAGTTAAGTAAATATATCAATTTTCAGAAAAACTTAATAATATAAACTAATATTTTAATTCGTGCTGAAATTTGATACAATGTTATGAGTTCTATTTCTAGGGAAAATATTATTCAAGTTGTTAGGGACTTCAATATTTATAATAACTTTACTAATTGAACTCAATGTTAAGATTATGTAATAGCAGCTAAAATAATAAAGTACTTTTGTTTGCTAGATATGCAATAAGCACAAAATATAAGATTTTGCCACAATTTTAATTGGAAAAAAAATACAGTAAATATATCCTTGAGAAGTATTACAAAAAGAAGAAGAAAAAAAAAAACCAGAATGAAAAACTACATGATACTAATTTGAACTCATGTTAATTTTGCATTTTCATATATACAACATAATGACTTGTTATATTTTTGCACGTAACATTCATTCAACACAATGAAACAAGAGATAAAAATACGTACAATCCCGATCTCCTCTGAATAATGATATAATCGTGTACAACTTATTTCAAATCATAGATTGAAAATTGAAACACGAGTTCCCGATTTCCCTACATCCCTACAGCGAAACGTACACGAAAAATGAACTGAAAAAAAAAAAGAAAAAAAAAAAAAAAAAAAGGTTAATAGAACAACTTCTCAACATTGAAATTGATGAGATAATTAAACATAAGCCTATAATCTAACTTCAATAGAAAATAGGAATTTAAATCTCCAAAGATTTTCCTATGATCACCACAAATAAAACCATCATAAGCTATAATTTTGGCACTGAGAAGAGCCAGCAATGTTGAAAAACATTCCCCTTTGATGAGCAAGTAGTCCATTGTCATATTCAAATCCTTCAATCTGCAATCAAATCAAAGAATCCATGCCTTAAAGTTTTAAAGCATTCAGAATAACTTCTTAATATAGTAAAAGACTGCAAAAACTGTCAGCTTCTCAAGAGAATAAGAATCAAAATAAGCAACTATACCCACTGATGCAACAAATAGTCCTTTTGTGTTAGCCTATTTAGCAAAAATATTTTGCTCTCTAAAGAGGGTTATTGTGGGGAACACTATAACTAACATCCTTGACAATACTAATGTAATAAACTTAATACGATAAATCGACATACGTTTTTCTTAATAAAAATGCACGCTTTTTAGTATAAAGATCATACTTTTCGCAACAACGTACCATTCTTCTGATAATATGGTCGACTAATCAAAATTATCCGCTCTAATTGATTTTGGCTCGTCTGATCATCTGATAATAAATTTTATATCTCTTAACTTATGTTATCAAAAAAAAATAAAATAAAATGTTGTAAGAGACCTTTTGCCAAGATAATGAATGGATCACTTTTGTTAACAAAATGCAGCTTTGTATGAGGTAGATAATCATAAAAATCACAAGTTGGATATAAGAACAAAAAAAAGGGGCTCTTTTGATATGGAATATATTTACCCAAACATCATCTTCATCTTCATATCTATGGAAGATTGATGCTTTAGGAATCTCTCCTAGTTCATCGTTTCGGGCGAACCTGCCGCGTATCCTTGGCCGGTTGTCCGCTAGTGTTTTCCGGCATGCATACTGTATTTTGTCATCCTCACACAAAATCATATAAAATGAAACCGAAAGTTAAACTAAGTGTCAACCACATTTGTTTGTACTTAAAAATTAAGCCACCTTAATTGTCTTGTTGAAATTCCTCTGAGTCCTCTTGGCTCTGTACCTATCGATCCTCTCTTTCCTCTCCTCCGCGCTGTATCGTCCCACCTTGAAATTTGAATCCTCCATCGACGACTTCTCTGTCGACAGCGTTGCATCTCTTGTTTGGATGATTGATTTTGCCTTCTAAATTAATATAAAATAAAGGAGGAGAATTTAGAGTCTTGTTTCATTAATATATGAAGAGACTGTTTGTTTCTAACCTTTTTCTCTCTAAATTATTTATATACAAAACTTACCTGCAAGTCGCCAGCACTGCAAACCCTCCTCATCTGACCGCCACAACCGGAAAACCCGTTTACCGGCGAGCTCAGAATTTGTCTCTGCAAATTCTGGGACTCCCAAACAGAACCCAACTGGGGTGGGTTCTGGGGCTGAAACTCGATATTCCTCGTCGTCTTGTCTTCGAAATTACTGCTGTAACTTCTCTGAATGAACTTAGCGGAGCCCGTGTAGGCCCCGTCGAATCCCTTTGGCGAAGAGCAGTTTTCGAAACCGGAAAAGTCGTTGAGGCTGACCTGGCATTCCTCTGTTTTCATACTGTACTCTGTTTTATCCAGCAAATCGGATGCCATTTGGTCCATTTCGTTAACCGGGTTAACGTTTTCTTGAATTTGTTCGTCGTGGATTTCTTGTAGAAACCCGAAAGCCTGGTCGGCCGTGAACGTGGGGAATGTATCGGAAAAGAAGGAGTTTTCGAACGCGAAAAGATCATAGGACATTGTTAAAGATGCAATCTTTTTTTCTGGGTTTGATGGAAAATTTTGGTTTAGTGTTTGGGGAGAAAGATGAGAAGAAGGAAAAGATTAGGGGCAAAAATGCATTATAATTATGAATAAAGAGCAAGTGATGACAGTTGACAGGTGCTGGGCTGGTTCAGAACATTTGTCTCAGCTGCCTTTTCTCTACACTGAATTTTTGCCTCTTGTCTTTGTGTGTGTCTTTCGCACAGTGAAACGCAGAGTCTGTTGATAATATAATGTGATTATTTATTGAAAATTATAAAAAGGGCCCTCTTGCTGTGAGAGCTCAAACTAGAGAGCGAGTTTGAGCTTTGAAGGGTCTGTTGCCTTCTGTTATAAAAAGGCCGTCAGGGGATTCTCTAGGGAGGCCCTGTATTATTGGTTATAGCAAGGGGAAATGCTACCATCCCGTTACGGTACCATCCCGTCGGATGTTTTAACCGTTGGATCATCGATCTTATCTAACTACTCGTAGATCTAACGGTTAAAACAACCGACGAGATGGTACCGTAACGGGACCGTAGCATCTCCCATATACAAGATGACCCACAAATCCCCTATATTAATAAAGAACGTGCTGAGCCTACGTGGCTGCTTTTGGTGCTTCGGAATCTTATGTGGCAAAATTACATAATTTTGTTATTAGGCTTGAGTAAATTTTAATTTAATTCCAAACCAAAAATAATTAGGTTCGTATTACCATCAATATGTTGATTATTTATCGTCATGTTACATGTATTAATTGCATTTTAATATCATTCCTTATTATCACTATTGAATTGTATATATATTTTAAAAATTAATAACTTTTATATTTTTTATCAGTTTTACATATATCAAATTAATCTTCTTTTGATGAGCTTCGATTTAACATCCATATTGTATGTATAAAAAAATAATTTATATTTATCTTTATAACAATAATAAAATTATTTTTAATATTAATTAGAAAAAATAAAATTATTTATCAACTAATATTTATATTTCAAGTAGTTATATGATATAAGTTATAAAAACTAATATAATATAACACATGTAAGTCATAAGTAACACATATCATATTAAAATATATAGTAATATATTTTTTTTGTAAAAGTAAACTAAATTTAATATAGTTTTCTCATTAATTTTAAAATTTAAGAATAATTTTTTAACAAGCACCGTGTAATACACTAGTACTAGTTTATTAGAAATGTGGATTGTGGTGGGCCTGTGGCTTTTGAGCATATTTGGTATAATTTTTTTAATGCGAAGTCTTACCTTTCCTATTTCTTGTTTATAAATCATGCTTCATACACAAAGGATGGCTCTTTTTCCAAATACAATTTCTCGTAGAGATTACAGCTTGATTGGTTGATCCATCTTAATTTTTAAATATATATATAGTTTACACTAAAATTTGTCATATTTTTGTTTGTGTCGATTTTAAAAGTATGTCACTTATCTATGAAAGTATGCATATATGTAGAACATGTGTGCTTGTGTAACCGTTAGACCTAAGGTTGAACATGAAACTCGTAGAATTTTGTAGCGTTTCGAAAGTCGAACCAGAACCACTCCAAAACGAAAAAATAATCGTTGACTATTTAACTTTTTCTGAACTGAAAAAATAATTGGTATCGTTCTGGATATTTCACAAACATCATTGCCGATGATCGAGTCGAACCATTCCAAACCGAATAACCAAATTATAATATTAGATGTCTTGTTCATAGATTTTACATCAACTTTAATCAAATATAATTTTAGTATTTTTAAAACACTTAATAGCATATAGTAATAATAATTAAACTTCACTTAAATTTTGTAGTTTATAATACTTGTTTTACAATTACTATTTTTTTTTTAGTATTTTGAAAAAGTTATTTATATTATATTTGTTGATATTTTTTTAGTCTAATTCTATCATATAATAAAAACGATAAGAAATTTTTAAACGAGTATTTAGTTTTTAAAAAGATTAATATTTTGCATGCATTTCAAATTTCGGTCATTGATTTCACAACTTTAGTCTTAACTAATATTTCGAGTTATTTCTATATTTTTTTAAAGTTGATTTCGAAATAAACTCTTTAATATATATGCTAATTTTTTAAAAAGCACATCAACAATAAAATATAGTTAGATAATCATTCCAAGAAATTGAAAAATAATAAAAGATATTTTGAGCTCTGAATCGAACATAAAGGGTCGTTTCCAATAGTCTCGACTACTTAACCTAACCGTAAAGAATAATCTCCAAATCAAACCGTTTTGGTACGATTTCAAAGATTGAACTATAATGATCTCTTTATAATTCGATTATCTTTCAATTTCTGAACCGTACAGACCTATACTATAATGATCTCTTTATAATTCGAATATGTTTCAATTTCTGAACCGTGCAAACCTATATTGCGTAACAACTTCACCTTTTTGAAATAACAATTACACCACTCTGGTGTTTTTGCAATTCTTGATGCACTAGGATTAGGGCTGAGCATGGGACTCGGAGAATTTCGAACCGTTCCGAAAATCGAACCGATATCACTCCGAACCGATAAATAATCGTTGACCGTTTGACTTTCTCCAAACCGAACCGAACCGAAAAAATAATTGGTACGGTTCTGGAGATTTCACAAATATTTGTACCGAGAACCGAACTGAACCGTCCCGTACTGTACCGAACCGAAAAACCGAAATTAAGAACCAAATTATAACATTAGATGTGTTATTAATAAATTTTATGTCAATTTTGATTCTATATAATATAGTAATAAATATTAACCTTCACTTAAATTTCATGCTTAGTAATACGTGATCTAAAATAATATTAACCTTCATTTATAAAATTGAGGCGAAATATTAACCTTCACTTAAATTTCATATTAACCTTCTATTATAAAATAATTATTTAAAATAATATAAAAGTTTAAAGAATATTTTTTTAAGAAAAAATATATTTTATTTTATTTGAATTTTAAATTTTCAATATTAGTTGAACAAATTTAGTTATAACTAAAATTTAGAGTTACTTATAAATTTGATTTCAAAATAAAATCTTTAATGTGAGGAAGTACTGATGAATGTTGGTTTTATTAAAGCATATATAAAATAAAATAACTGAAATTTAGAGTTACTTCTAGAATTGATTTCAAAATAAAATCTTTAATATGATGAATTATTGATGAATGTTGTTCTTTTAAAGCATATAAAAATTAAAATATAACTAGGTAGTCATTCAAAAATAATTTAAAAAAATAAAAAATCTCCGAAGATCCGAAGCAAACTATACCGAACCGAACCGTCTCAATAGTCTCGAATACCGAACCGAACCAAAAAATAAAAATCTTCGAACCGAACCGAACTGACTTTTTGGTACGATTCCGGAGATCAAATTTTGGGATCTCCGAAGTTTGGTACGGTTCTGGAGATTTATCAATCTACGAATCGTACCGACCCACACTCACCCCTAACTAGGATATAAGGGGAAAGACAATTCTATCACATCTTATCTGCTCATTTGGCAAGTTTGAAATAAGCTCAGCGATCGTTTAGGGCCTCGGAAATGAATGAGTAAACATGGCCAAAATTCGGGCCGGGTCACGGCCCGGCCTGGCCCGTCGGGCCGAAGGGTTGGGTTTGGTGGATCCTGAACCCGCACGACTTAGGTTCGTGTCGGGTCCATGACCCGGTGGGCCGGGCCGGGCCCAGCCCGGGTCTGGACCCGTCCCAACAAAAAAAAAAGAAAAAAAAAAGAAAATTTCAAAAACCATACATTTTTTTCGTGTCGAACCGGCCCGGCCCGCCGGGCCATGGTAAAAAAAATCCCGACCCGAGATTGACCCGGATGAAATCCGAGTTGGGTCTGGACTCATGGTCAACGGGTTTGACTGGGCCGGGTCGGCGGGCCGGTTGACCCGTGACCATGTCTAAATGAGAGATATTTGGTCAGAGCTCACAGGGTATTATTTCTCACGGGCAAAAGGGTTTCAATTCCGGATTTCGGTTGATAGGAAAGTCTTGATTTTTGGGAGTAAACAGAATAAAACGAAAAATGGGGTCGCAGGGTGCATTTGGAGAAGATGCAGCAACGCCAGAGCTATCGGCACCTCTGCCTGCCACATTGATCTTATGAGCACCTTTCAGCAAGATCCCCCGTCTAAGTAAATTTCGATCATTGCTAATTGTTCTATTTAGCTCTGTTCTTAAATTTTCGTGGTTCATTCATTTTTGTTGGAATATCACTTGTGAGTTGTCACACATTGATTTGATAGGGTAAATGAGCATACTTTATAAGCCTAGTGGGTTACACCTCTCATCACTAATTGATTTTTGGATGGAACTTTATTTGGGCTTCATTTGGGCTAACCCTATTATGGTGCGCACCTGTGCGGGAGTGCTCGTTTTGCCCCGTTTGACAATTTTTTTTTTTTTTTTTTTTTTTTTTTTTTTTTTTTTTAACTTTTTGTTGTCTTTGTCCAGATTGTTGCCTGTCCCTGTGGTGGTAAGTTATGGGCTTTCCAGATTTCGTTTGTATGCTTTCTTGATTATTTGTTATTTGTGTGCAAATTATGATATAAGTCGTTTAGTTTCTTGTTTGAACTATTTCTTTTTTCTTTGTTTTTCTTCAAGTTTTTATATAGGGTTTACTAATTATCTGTTTATTTATAATGCCTGAAATGCCAAACTTTATGGTGTCCAAATTTAGCCAAATTGATTTTTTTGGAGCTTATGGTAATGGGGTTGGGTTGGGTTTGACTCTTTAGTAATTTATTTCATCTTGGACCAATATATCATTATATTGTGAGTTTTGATTCGAGAACCTGGATGCATTTGATTATCACCTTGATGCATTTAATGACTCAATCTTGTTGAAAACTTAAGCATTCACATAAATTTCTGTCCACAGGGACTGTTTTTGACTTGGGTATGGATTAATTTCATCATTTCTTTTGAATTTGCTTGCTAGGAAAGTTACCTCTGCACGGTCATGTCGA